TCCTAAAAACCACCCTGATGGGCAATTCTGGCACACTTACTGGCACTTTAATCATGATCCAGTTCACCAAATTACAAAAGACTGTTCTGCTGCCTTTAGATGTATTATTTTAAGAGAAAAGCTTCCCTGGATACTCTTATGGTGCTGTATATGTTATCAGTAATCTCATGTTCAAGTAGTTCCCACATTACTCAGGATGCTCTTTAGCAAATCCTGGAAAAGGGCAATGAACTCATGTTCAAGTGTATGTTTTCACATGTAGGAGTGTATGTGGAGAGACAATAGTCATAGGTGGAGGGCTATATGTTTAAACACCGGAGTACACCTGCATGCCTGCACAGTTAAGTTGGGCCTTGTTTCGAAAGTTATTTAACCAGCGTTCCTATGGTGGTTTACATACTTTACAGTAATTTACAGTACATAGTTTACAAAGTCAACTATAACTGACCACACAATCAAATGTTAGACTTTATGAATACATCGTGTTGAGAAAATCATGAAGCAGTCAGCCAAACATCAAGCTTAATATTAGCGATAGCATGGATTTAGTTGGTTGGTTAGTTGTAATTAGCGTGGCATTAAGCAATAAAGGCAAATGAACACAAGTAGTTTGCGTGTTGAATGATGCTTGAATGGCTTCTGTTGTACACCCACTGTACTTGTAATGGAGTATTTGCAGCGTGGAGTATTAGTACTTTTGCTAAAGTAAAGTACTGATCCGTCCTCCACCTCCAGTTAGGACACCCACGACCTAACTGCACCTGTGTGTCACTGGCCGAGCCTTCCCCTTTAAAAAGGGTGGAGTCTTTTTGGTTTTAGAACAGACACTCAAGAGTGCAGAGTTTTTGTTTTGTTTCATCTTTAAATGATCCTAAACTTTGGACACTTTTTGTTATTTTCTCTGGCCTGTCTCTTCTCTTCGCCCCTTGCTATTTTCACTCTCTTCTAAAGCACATACATACATACAACAGTAATAATCATCCGTGCAAAACTCTATATAGGTATATAGATAAAATAAAGCTTTGATGCAACAAAATTTCCTCCAAATGATTGCTAAAGCTAAATCCATTTTCCACCCCTGGTGGCCAGAAATCAATTAATGCAGCTTTAATATTTTATTAATCACATATTAAGCAGTTAAAGGCTTGAGCAGGCTACATTTCAGACCTTTTAACTCGTACGTCACCCAGTGATGATAAAAATTGATGATATGATTATTATTATTATTATTATTATATATATATATATATGATCTCTTAATTTCTTGGGAAATTAAGAGAATTAATTCTTTCTTCTTTACTAATTTGTCTAACTTTTCTATTAATTCTCTTTATTTTTAATTGCTGTAGGATTGCCTTTAAAGGACTTTGTTATTGTTTTTTTAAAGTATTATATAAAGTACAATGATTGTAAGTCGCCATCAAGCAGGCAATATCCAGACAGGATGTGACACATTTGTCCATTTTTATTCCCTAGGAAAACTAAATCATACAAACATAGCACACAATAAAGTGATTCTAGACAATCTCAAGCAACCTCACTTGGGTTTTAACCACAGTCTGCAAATGAATAAACTCCTTTACAGTGCTCTATGTATCTTTATTAGATCTCTTGCAGCTCCGTCTCATCTTTCTCCACCTTATTCATCCTTTCAAGAGCTCTATGAAAAATTCATACTTGGGGATGGTGAACTGTCCACTTGTATTTAAAAGAAATCATTCATTTTCACATCTATTGGTACATGCAGACAACCTCTTTAGATCTGAATCTGCACTTTGCAAAAAGGAGGAAGAAGTTTCATCAGTGGTGGAATAATGGCCCTAGCAGGTACAAGCCTGAAGCAGCATATGAATGAATTGCCTACTGTGAACATCAATACATTAAACACCTTGAGCTATGCTAACTACCCTTTTGCCATTAGCAGAAAACAATATGCCTGTTTCTGTTGTTCTCTCCACCTTGGTTTCCAAATTTCACAGTCGCTTGAACATGGAATAAGGTAATTCATATTTGCAATTGTTATTATTGATTTATTTCGTTCTTCATGGTTTATACGGCGTAACATCCAAAAATAATGCATGGATTTTGATTAAATCCAGCTTAGCAAGACAAGCAGAGAGGGTCACCGGGTCATACACATACATTAAAAACACACACATATGCTTACACACACACACACACACACACACACACACACACACACACACACACACACACACACACACACACACACACACACACAGGACACTGGGTTAAATAAACACTTAGCTGCTCTATCTGACCACAGGTCAATAGTTGTGGTGTGGCTTGCCTTGTCACTGGCTCAGCTGCACTCTTTAATTACACACCCATTGATTGGTCAGAATGTCGATAAGGCATTTAAGCAGCTTAATCCTCCTCGTATTAACATGAGCAATATGCACATAGTATATGAATTAATTCTCAGCCTGAGGCGGAGCACTTGTATTTGTTGCCTCTTGCATTTCAATCTGGTTGCCTGGGGTTTTCATGAAATGTCAATAGAAAGAGGAGAAATTGATCGATTTGACTGCTGGTGGCAGGAGAAGGAGGAAGTGGCGGGTGGAGGAGGAGGGGGAGGCTGCTGAAGTTACTTTCTGTTTTGCTGAATTGATGCCAAACTGCTATCTCTTCTTTGTTATTCTACCCCAACAAATCTATCAGGGAGACTAAGACGTCTCTTAAAGTTAAATTAGAACTGATTGAAAAAGCAATCTTCAATTGTGTGCTATTAAGTCAGTCCATTCATGCATAGGTGCTAGCTGTTTACCCCTTCTCCTCCCCCTCTGCATCTATACAGTAGATGAGAGTTGTTGCTGAGGGAGTCACTCTATCACCTCTGTGGCGACCTCCATGGTTCCAGCCCATGAATGGTAAGCACCTATGGGTGGAGCTGCCCCTGGCCGACGGGAGCGGGGGCCGGGACAGACAGGGAGCACAGGGCCACCACTCACCATGACCGGGACAGACAGAGCAGAGAGAACAGAGCACTTGCTTTACAGCTGACTGACAGCAGGTTAATTGACTGAACCCTCCCCAGTACTGCTCACTAGAGAGCGTTTCTCCCCCAGAGGCATCTTAGCTCACAATCTAAGATAAAGACATTCGTACTGATCTGTGGCAAGCAGATGCTGATGGAAACGCACTGGGACTGATGACATAATAGTCCTGTATAATATTAAAAGTATGTATTCCCTAGTGCTCTAGTGCGTTTAAGCAAGATTCATTGCAAAGATTCAGTTGTTTATCTCAACAACAACAAACCTGAAATAGATATCAGATGTTATTTTAACTGGAAAAAACATGTATATTTTGCTTTGCAGACTGCAGAATTATTAAAACCTCCGGTCTTTATTTACATTTTAGTAGCTTCCAGATATGACACCAGATATGTCAGGCAGATTTTCATCGTCTTCATGTACAAGATTTAGATCTGACTTTATGGTTTAGTCATAATGATGATGATAATACTACTCAGTATAAACATATTTTCTAGGAAACATTTCCTTGCAATGTCAAAGGGAAGAGATCAGGGTTGGTTGGACATGCAGTGTACAGGATTCTGATACTGGAGATTGGGGTTTGCCATGAAATGTTAGATTTAGGCTACTAAAACATGGAGTTATGGTCAGGAAAAGATCATTAATCAATGTGAGGCGGTCTCTATTAAGTACCACCAGCAGGATGATATTTTGTTTTGGTGTTTTTGTGACATGTCTTGATAACTATTGGTTGGTTGGCTTGGCATGAAATGCATAGATATATTCATGGTCCCCAGAGGATGAATCTTGACTTTCATCAGATCCCTTGTTTATTTATTGTTAGTTCAGTCAGACAACTCACGTTTGAAATGTTTATTGAAGCAGTATAGCATATTTAGATTTTGGCGTCTGACCTCATCACTCCCCGCAGGTATGTTTACATAGAGATATTGGGGAGTGATGTGCAAATACCTTAACCCCCAGTCGGGCCCTACAGGTGGATGCTGGGGTGGTGGTGGGGCTTACAGCGCAGCAGGCAGCAATAGCTTACAGAGTAGCAGCAATGTGATGCAAGGCAACAGCGGCACTGACACAGCAGAGGGAGAGCTGGGAAATTGTGCAGCTTAAATAGACCGCCAGATTGAATGGTTGCGCTTGGTTAGTGATTATGGAATAAGGCATGTCATGTGTTTATATCAGCGCAGCTCGAGTTGACTGCCTGAACTAGCTTGCAGGCTTCGCTCCATTTCTGTTTAACTACTTGAGATTTTCTGAGTTATTGTTAGTTATAATAGGAATATACTGAGAATATAAAATTATTTATTAATGATTTAGCCATCATAAGCTACTGACCTAGTGACCCTTGAGTCTAGTGCAGGACTTCATGACTTTACTAACAGATGAAGAGTAAGTTCCATTTAGTTAAGAGTAACTTCCAACTTCTTAATGGGATTACCTGCATTTCAGTTAACGTGTGTATTTTTGTATAATTTCAGGTGCTGTGTGTGTGTTTTTATTGATTGCGGTGCTGCAGGAAAATATAAAACTTTAGATTCCATGCTGTGCAGCTTTCACTTTTTTCCAGCACTATAGCTTCAAAAATATTGCTGTACCTGCTTCAGTTAGCAGCACAGCAGTGCTCCATTAAAGCATCAAAAGGATATACTTATCTTTACTTCAACGCAGCCTTTCATACTTTTCCAGAGGGAAATGGAAAACGGCAGTATTGATAAAAGTAGAACATGAAAGACTTCTGCAGGACTATATCCTGATGCAGGGATTGGCTTTCATTTCTGAGGCTTGGAGACATTGCTTTTGTTTAAGCTGCCGGTGGATGGCATGATGCCGTGATGTTTAGGTGTCTCGTGATTGTGCCATATACAGTATATGTCATCAATTTTTGCTATTACCCTGAAAGTATTACTCACCTACTGTACCTGCAAACCTTCGAGTTCAACTTCTTGTCATAATCACACTTTGAAACCAAATATTCTCAGCAAATAAAGTAAACAACTAAAATATTTATTAAATGAAGGATTTTTTTTACAGCAAACTCTTATCACGACACAGTCTTCAAGTCAAATGACACTTAACCCTTTGAGTACAATTAGGTTTGCCACTCTGATCTGGAGAAGTAACAATGAACAGACCTGGGGGATTCCTCCGCCGCGGTCCTCTATCAAAAACATGAACAAGCACATTCGGAACTAGAAGGTCCAAAACGGCTTCTTCTAAAAAGTCAGACATTAAAGGAGAAACACAATGGCTTGCTTTTTTCTTTAAGTAGGAACTGAATCAAGAACAACATTGTCATTGTCAACATTAGATTTCTTTTTTTTTTTTTTTTTTACATGTGTACATAGTTCTATTTTGTCTGGCTCTCATGAAGAGATTTTTCAGTTCAGTTCATACAGACATATGTTAAAAGAAAAAAGAAAAAGGTGTGAAGTGAAAAGTCTGTCCTCTGTTTGCAAAGATGCCCAAAACAGACACTGGTCTACGCTCATTCTGATTCCCAAAATGCACTTCTGTTGACCCTCAGCTTTTAATGAGGGTCACTAACTGATCAGAGATCTGTACAAACACACAGTCTAGTCAAATCCATAATGTCCTAAAACAGCGAGAAGACAAAGATTAAACTATGGCAGATACTAAAAGGGTTAAGGCAAGAATAGAAAAATAAAGAAATAGTAGAAACAATAGAAATGTTGCTTCTCTGTCACTCGACTTGCAACGCTCAGATCCTAAGATGCTGTAGTGAAATTATTCACATAGTCTTACTCTCTTTACAGTACCCTTCACTTTACACAGTATTTACAGCAAAACAGAACCTATCCCACAAAAAGAAAAGTAGTCCACTAAAATTAATACGTCATTCATGAACACAATGATAATTAAAAAACTGTATAATTTTATCATATTGTCAGTATGTAAAAACATTTACACACAGACTTGCAAATAGTGTTTTACAGTAGTCATTATATTTCATATCAAATCAATCAACAGAGCAATCTGAAAACCTTGTTTTCAGTGATCTTTTGTACAAATGTCTGCTTTCGATTGCTGTGTTAAACTTGATGGGTACAGATACCATTTACATCACGTGTTTTCTCTTTTGTGTGTACTTTGTGCACAGTTGACAATTTGAGTTTTACAAGAGGCATTGTGACAATGGAGGATAGTACACAGAGAAATGCTCAGGTGAGACACAAACAGATGTGGTGGCAAACAAAGACAACACAAGGACATTGTGACCGAGAGGTTAGAGCAGCGGCACACCTCACTGCATGCCACATTCCCCTCCAGACGTTGAACAAACATCATCACTTGCAAAAGTTTGTGAGAGGACCACCGTGTTTTGGAGTCCAAACAACGCACTCTGTGCACGTAGAAAAATATCTTTTCCCGCTGTTTCTGTGAGGGAGCAGAAACACGACCAGAAACAAGAACTAGTCTGACATTAAATAGTGGAAGGTCAGTAGGAGCGAGATGGTGGAGACATTTATTTTCAAATACAAAGACCAAGGTCACCCCTTATGCCGGTTACAATTCCAAAAAAATGCATCAAAGTTTTTCATTTATAGCTAGTGCAGACTACAACAAAGCCTTACATTTGCTATATTGATCTTGGCCTATCAATGTGTGGGGTGCAGAAATGACACAACTGATCTCCAATGAAGTGTACTGATGACAGGATTATTTAATTTGGAGAGATTCTCAACAGGAGGGAATGGCCGTAACATTGAGAAAACAACATGTGAGAAGTGACTCTACACGTGTCCACTGCCTTTCTCATTTTCTATTGGACTATTTTCATTGGATACTGTTCTTCTCTTGTCTCAGCCTTCAAAATGCTCTACAAGCACATGTTGTTTCTGGCTATGACAGAAATATGTGGTAGTGAGTAGGATGGCTCACTACAAAGTAAAAGGTGAGTCACAGAGCCATGCCTACTTGAGGATTTCTGTCTCAGATCTCAAATATTTGTCTGCTATAGGAAAGTCACAGTAAAAGTCGAGTAGTGTGCTCTAGGCTTTCCAGTATCAACCCTGATTTTGATGAGGAATACTAGTATATTTTAGGGTTCCAGCTGATTTACTTCATTTCACACAGAAAAGCCAAACGAAGGTTTCATTTTCATTGTTAAGGATTATCTAAATCTGTGGGAGCTGCTATTCATTCTGAGGCAGCAAGTTGATTCTCTCAAAGGAAAATTTTCCTGATATGTGCAACTATGCTGAGGGTGTGCAGAAGAACAAGATTGTAGAGACCTTGACTGTTGGTACCAGCATTGAAAATCTTTCTACTGAAATAATTTTACCTTGACTGTAAAGTGGGTTTATAAAGAGCTGTATAAGAAAGGTTTACTGAATAACTTTCACCTGAACAAAAGGTGCAACTGGTATGTTAGACTTCTGCTGTTATCAGGTAGTAATTTCATAGTTGAAGCATAATTCATGGCCATAACACGCAGTTCAAAGTCAGAATGTTTAGACAGCGTTAGAAATTCTCTCTGGTTTGCTGTGGGAAAAACAGCAGACAGTGATGGACAAACGGGTTGATAATGACAACACTTCAGGGAATCGTTAGCACTCTCGAGACAAGCTTGAGGATAATGCAGAGAGGTGTGGAGGAGAGGGCAGGGCGGGAGAACAGAGTGGCTTCAGAGCTGTGACTATGTGAACTGTAGCAGGAAAGCACCATACTCTCCTGCCTTAATAAGCCCAGCCGTCTGTAAACAGATTTGACACTTGGTGACCTCCTGGCATACTCAAATCCAGGCCAGCGTGACATGGCTTTAATTATCCCCACTTTTTCTCTCTTTCTGCTTTTTCATGTTTCTCTGCCACTCTGAGTGTATGGTTCGGAGCTGAGGAGCTCTGGGAGATGCAAGAATAGTCTGATGCACCATGAGCTCCGCTGAGTAAGTCAACTGCTTCGGCCGGTGCGAGAGCCTGTTGTGCACACTGATATCACATGCTTTTCATTGCTGTTGTTGTCATAGGTAGCTATCTGACAGTCAGCCTCATCAGAGAGGAAACACTGAGGCTGAGGGAAAATGTTGTTTGGATCTTATAAAGAATGTGACTCATGAGGGTGGGTCATTTACAATGAGTAAATACAATGGGGTATGCTTGAAATAAACTACAGTTCTTCATACAAAGTGTTGTCTACCTACGTCTAAAAAAGTGTTTATACCTCTTCCGAATGGCCACCCTTCATCTGGAACAAGACTGCAATCGTAGGGCGAGAAACATTGAAATGGGGATAATGACGCACAATTTCGGACAACCACGCTTGAGCAAGAAGTTCAAACCCTTCATCCTCTCACACCTCCACACACCTGGCCAATCACTGTCTGAAGTGGGCGTGCTTGTCAGATTATCTGTTTCAGAAAATTGCCAAAGTTGTCAAATGCATCCCCCCCGCCCCAACGGTGGAAGGCTGTGGGGGAGGGAATTTCAGATGCTGTTCGATGGTCCAACAAGCACTTGATTCAAAGCACTCTGACATGTGGAGACTGCACCTCCTTTCCAAATGTCATTGTTTGTCAAAACTAATGGTGTGTTCAGGCGCTGCTTGTCAAAAATCAAAGCCTCAGCAATACTTCCCCTATTGAGAACAACTTCCTTATGAAACCAATGGATTTCAGCAAATGGCCTTTATCTTAATAAAATGCATCACCCTTACTTCTAATACTTACTTTTACCACCAAGATGTTGCCCTCAAACAAAAACCAGAAATACTAGTGAAAACTAGAACAAGTATAATAATAGTTTAGGAAGTTTACAGTTCATGCTGAAATAATTCAGTTCAAATCATGATGGACAACTGTATAACAACGATATGCGAGACAACTGACTGGTGCATAGTGGGATACTGAGGGCTAAAATCATTTACTGTGTCCACCAAATTCAGGCATTTATCTTCTCTAGATACATGGACATTGCAGGATCCGGTCCTTAAAGTGGAGGAAGCAGACAGCTTTTGGGTGTAGATGCAGGAATTTGGATGATGTGTCCTAAAACATTTACATAGAATGTAAAGAAAAGTTATGCACCTTTGATTTGTTTGAATGTTCACCCACAGAAACATGTAAATGCACAGCCAAGTTAATGGATTAAGATTTTTTCCCTTCTTTCCTTCTTTACTGATTTTTCTTAATCTGCCAGAGAAAGATTTAGTTCACAGCTGTTTGATAAAATATCAGCTTGTCAGCACGTGTCATGAAGTAACTTTGTATAAAGCAAGACATCTCAAAGGTTCAGGTGAGGTGTTTGTCACAGTGGAAAGTAAAAGTATTTGTTGAAATAACACGAAAAAGTCACTCTCATGAAAGAAGTTGGTATTGAGTTGGAAACGGAACCTACATCATCAGACTTGAAGGTCTTTTTTTCTTACTTTTCTAGGTGTTATTTCTACATCAAACTATCTCCTGTCAACCTTGGATCCTGATACTGTAGCTTCACAGAACATCATATACAATTAGGGTGCATTACTTTAGGTCACCACAATAATAAATGTATTATGATGACCTCCAAGGTGACCAAACAATAGTGAGTCTACATTGAGGCAACACAGACAGCTGGACATCTGCATCTGCCCAGCTGTGAATCAGTTTCCTAATAACTCTGCTGCTCCTCCCAGATTTGGGGTTCAAGACATGGTGCTAAACTGGTTTCCTCAACACATGTGGACTGAAATGGAAACAACACAAAGACACATACACAACACAGTGACTGTGGTGACTATGGCCTCAGTCTCCACCTGAGCCACGCACACGCACACACACACACACACACACACACACACACACACACACACACACACACACACACACATACACACAAAAACTCTTTGTCAACAAAGTTACGGCATAAAAGCACAGTCTCAACATCCCAGTCTGTCCAGTGTGTGTTTGTATTTTCTGTGCACACCCTGGCATGCACAAGTGTGTGCGTGAGTCTGTTTTATGAATCCAAGGGGAGGGTCGTCGGATGAAGGAGGGGGCGTGGCAGTCCCGCAGTGAAAGGAGGAGAGCTTTAGTTGTTCTGAAGGCAGTCGAGATCCACTGAGCAGCAAACATTCCCATTCTGAGACGCACAGCATGAAAAGACAGGAAAGACGAAAGATAGTATTAAATATACTGTAGTGTATTATAATATGCTGTATATGTTGCATTTAATAACACAATTCAGAGCCTGGCTGGCTTAAGACTTAAAACACAGGGAACTCTCAATGTTAACATGACAACTACACTAGGGTCAGTTCACACAAACTACAAAAGAACATACTATATTTTTGGCCCTGTTACATCTAGTCATTCAGTTTCAGGATTGTCTGCTATGGTTTTAAGATATCCATCTCTTAGATTTATGCTGCCACTTGGAGGAGAACAGAATTTAGGATGTGTGGCTCCAAGCAGTGACAAATTTGAGAAATTGAACAGCAATATGTCTTTCCACTGACAAGGTCACGTTTCTTTTGGATAATCAACAGACCTCACTGTCAGAGTGTCACCTTTTCATTGGAACTACTTTCTACAAAAAAATAGATTAATGATTATGTTTCTCATTTGGCTGAGCTGACCCTTGGAGAATAGATAACTGATGGTTGGCCCCTGCTGGTAAGAGACAAACTATGTCTTTACCAAGAGTAACGCTCAGGAGCTCATATTGAGAGTGACTAACCAATCGCAGAGCAGCAAAGTGACTGCTCTGTGAACCGATTCAGACCAAATCAGGCTGGAACAGGTTGAAACAGAATCAGCAACTTGACATTACTTTGCGGTGGCCAAATGCAGACTGGTCAAACTGGTCCACAGTAGCCTAAAATATCACTGAAAACTGTGCTATCCAGGTGCAGTATATGGACCAAACTTTGTTGCCCTCCTCACTTGATTTATGTAATGTAACCAGATTCGATGTCTGTGTCTGGCTCGCAGTCTTTGCTGCAAAAAAACAATACCATACCACCAACAATACCTTCGGTTTGTTTTGGGGAAAAATCAGAGAAATAAAATGTTATTTTCTGATGGTTTCACACCGGTTACTTCAAGCACAAATAAACACACCCACACACCGCCGTACCAGCCTGTGGCTAATCTCCGCAGGCTGCTAAAACGTCTGATTTGGTTGGAATATTGCCTCATACAAATACAGTAGTTCTGAGCAAGCACTGACAGTAGCTGTAACCACACTGTGAGTGAGTGCACCAGCTGCTGTGGCTGGCTATGACTTGTATGTTTTATAAGTCCACGATTCAGTTTATGTAATCACGATACAAAATAACCTGACATGTTGATGTTGAATCACATATTTGATGTGCTTCTTTTGGCTAATTTAAATTCTGATTGCTAAACATATGCAAAACTGAGAAACAAAAGATTATTTTTACTAAATGTGTGGAGATGATCTGAGTTGTGGTGGCATGTTCCTGACACAGTGATCTGCATATTTTTTTGCTCTTAAGATTAAATTTGCCTTATATTATCTGTGATAGTCAAGTATTTATTCACCTTGGAAGAAAGACAGTTGCATATCCTCCAGCACACATTAGATAAACTCACTATACCAAAGATTTCCTTCAGTACTAATAGACTGGAATGCTTACCATTACACACTGCCATTGTCAAGGTATGGAATTTAAAAACTGATGTGAACACAATCTCAAGCTCATGTGACTGCATGGGACTACATGGACAATTACAGGGCTAGACAAATAGATGAGGTAAAAAGCACTACTGCACCTGCAACAAAACTGAGCCTGAATCATTTCAAGTTAAAACAGTACACATTCCTAATTGTGAATTTTCAGTTGAGCACAGTAAAGCAAACCTTCATTGTGGTTGTTGTTGCTTTAGCCTACCTTACACTTGCAGGTGGTACAGGGTGAGTTGGGCATATGCCATGTGTCTCCGCTGAGGCGGACGACGCCTGCGGGGTCCTGGCACGTCTGTCGGATGTCATACGACAGGTTGTCGGCCAGGCAGGGGTCTGTGACGCAGCGCGGGCAACACTCACCCTCCGCCACCGCTGTGTACTCACACATCAACACGGGGCAAACCAGAGGCCAGCAGTCCACCTCCCCCTCCTGCAAAGACACAGAGAAGGATAACAAAGAAGAAAGGTGACACAAATGTTACTGTGTGTGCGTTTTTTTTGTGTGTGAATCAGCTGATCTTGTGACTGCAGTTACAACTCACACGCTCTTTAACTAGAGAGGTGGTAATTATGAGCCCTCCACACACACTTAAACACAGAGCTGAGCAAGAGATCCGGGACAGGTATTTAAGAAACCCCAGATCCAAGCTTCGTGTTGATGTGAAGACTATGTTTTCCATGTCATCTGTTTCTTCTAACAAACCACTTTCATCACACTTTTTTAAGATTTAATATGAAGGTCAGCTTTAATTTCTGTAGACAAAACACATGCAGCTCCTGTGTGAATTTGTATATGTGTGCGTTTTTCTGTGTACGGACCATGCAGCGGCACTGCTGGCAGCCGTACAGCCAGGATGCTCCACTGCGGTAGAGTGTGCGTCCGCTCTGGTCGAGACACTGGCTGTTGGGCCGGTTGTCACAGCCAGGACAGCAGAACAGATCCTCATCTGGGTCTCCACAGTCACAGGGTCTCCTCCTGCAGTATGTCTGCCCGTCCTGCACAATAGAGGTCACAGCGGTCAGGGGGCAAACAGACTAACGTATGTTGATGACTTCAAAGAAATTGTGTCGACAAATACTTTAACTTCACGTGTTGTTTCATATCTGTAGAGTACTGCAGTTTCTTTATCATTAAATAGGTAGGTTAACCTGCATTCAACAAACTAAAACTGAAAGCTTTCATCAGTCTGGTTACAGTGGAGAGTTTAAGGATTCCTGGATGCCCTGAATGTCGTTTCCGACATGTTGCACATTGGGTCATTCAGGCATATTATTCAGGGCCAGCATACCCCTAATGTATTTTAGCAACTCTTAAATGTCAATTTTCTAACAGCAATTTATTACAGCTGCGAATGAAGCAAGAACGTGTTAGAAGTTTGGTGTCTGGGCTGGAATGCAAAGTCAAATGCAGAGGAATCTGCCAGATCTGGGAGGCTCCTCAACCACCACGTCCCTGGCTCTCCGTCTCTACCCGGAGAAAACTTTATGGTCCATTTTACTCACCACAGCCAGTACTGTCTAGCCCTGGGACGACAGTGTAATGGAGATGTAAAAATGTTACATAAAATGGGTATTAGAAAATGTATGGGAGCCATAAAATCATTCCACATACCATTAAAAGGGCAATACAGAGCCAATGTTTTATCGATGCATATTGTCCTGCTACAGTAACCACTCCAGTCCCAGGGCACCAATACCAATGGCGTTGGTCTTTACGGTTACAGCCCTGGACTCGCTGGGAAATAATTGGCAATTGTACCAAGCTGGCAGGATGCATGAATGCAGACCGTTCATTTTAATGCCAGGAATAAGACCAGGCATGCATGCTAATGCTGTGCTATTGTGCTAACAAAAACAATATACAATATACTGCTTTTTTTATTTCAGCTTTGATGACAGCGACTTTATGATGAATTTGATGACTGCAGATGACATTCTCTTTAATAAATATGTATGACATGTCTTAAGCACAGTCCTAGGATGAGGTATTCCTCTCTTTAAGGGCATTTTGATGCTTGTTGACTCTAATTCTCTAATTTAACTCAATTTCTCCTTTCATTTCCCTTAAAATAAACATTAGTGAAAGTTGAAAATAGAAGATCCTGCAGCCCTTTGCTGCATGTCATTCCCCCTATCTATTTCCCCCCTGTCATGTCTAGCTTCACCTGTCCTATCAAAAATAACACCCAAAATATATAATTTTATATATATAAAATTATATTTTCCAGTTTCCATTTCTGATCTCATATGCTGCTGAGTCATGCACTTCTGTCTTTTTTGCTTGCTCTTTCTGGCTTTAGTCAACCTTCCTCTAATGTTCAATAAACCAGTCAACAGTTTCATGTGCATTTACCACATAAAACTATGTACTTTCTGACCCTGATGACATTCAATTTATCTCTCCATAACCACCGACAGTAACTTTCTGGCTGCCACGCAGTCACCTGGCTGTGGTTTTCAGCCTTGGTCCCTGCGATCCAGATCAATGCTGGTAAACCAGCAATGTGAGCAGAGCGTGTCAAGAGCGTGTCACACTTGTGTCTCTTTTCTCCACTCTTATAATTATGCTATTTCTATTACATCTCTTAATCAAGAAATTCCCTTGTAAATGTATGCAAATGCATACATTTACAGTTGACATGAAACAAATATTTAAGGCTCCATTTCATTATTTATTTGCTTGAAGCTAGTTTTTCTCATTTCTGTCACTTCTACAAAGTCTGTAAAGCATGACAATATACTACTACTGCTAATACACGAAATATAGACACAAAATAAAGATAAAATAGCACTCTGCATGCAGTAAAGAAGATCTGTTAAGACATCATAAATAAGCTGCAAACATTTACTCTACAAAACAACTATACTATATTGGAAATGTGGCTGCTGAAGGACAGACAGCTTGAAAGTCGCTTTGCTTTTGGACATTTGATCCATGTCAGAGGCTTGATGGAGCCAAGACAGAAATTGATGAAGATGTTTACGTTCCATTGGTCATCTATCTATAAATGTGTCACATGAACTGGAGCAAAGTGGCTTCCGCTGCAAGAATCATCTTGCCCTGCAGGATGACGGAAGTCACTCAACCAAAATGTTGGCAACATGATATTAATCACCAGACGTCTGCTGTTACAGTTTACACATGTTATGACAGAGAAATTGAACTAATTTGGATGTGTTTACTAACGTGTGTTGAACTGAAATGTCATAACTCGGGATACGCTTCGGTAATAGAGTTTGCCTTAGTTGATACTTGGTATTAAGCAGGGTAGTTCATGTGAAACATGATCATTGGAACCTCTGCTCTCGGCTGTCTTTTTATTCCAAATAACACTCTGTGTCCGTTTCATATTAATCTCACCCACTGAGTCTCACCTTCGCAAAGATAAATCTGATCAATATCTCACTTTCCTGCAGCCACAAATATCTGTCAGAATGTAACACAGGCTAATGACAAACAGATGGGAGCACTGAGGTGTTTTACTTGAGCTGACCTGTATGATGCTTAATATGCTCTCCTGAGGTAATAATTATCAGAAAAGTGTTTTTTGTTTGTTTGTTTGTTCTGTTACGGCTATCTGTGGTGATTAAGGGTGGCAGTTAATTAACATATTTACCTGAAAGTCACAAGTTAACATTGTCCTATATTAACAGCTAAGTTAGAGGAAGTCATGGAAGACAGAGAAAGCTTTAGATAATAGCTACAATGAAAACCTAGAGTTAAGATCTTCCACCAGCTTGTGAACATCAGTGTGAACAACGGTATGGGTGTGTTCCTCTTCTGTACCTTGCAGGAGCATATAGCACAACGGTCAAAGCTGGGTTTCCAGTCTTCTCCATTGCGTCTGATTCCCTCTTCCTGGGGGCAGTCGCCGCTGCAGCCCGGACCAGATGTACAAACACAGTCGTAGCCTCCCGGGAGGTTCACACACACGCTGTCATTCCAGCAGGTGTGTGTCTGCAAACTGCACTCATCGATATCTGGAAGAGAAAGAGTGAACCGTGAGCTGTAAATGAATGCTTACATGTCATTTGTTGTGTGAATGTGCTTTTGAACAATTATCTATGAGTGTATGCAAAAAATAATGTTTTAACATTTTGATAAAAGTATAAGGTATTAATATCAATTGATTTCAAACTTGCTTGCCAAATACAGTTAGGATGAATCATAATTCATGTCTGTATTATGTTCACTGGCAATGTACATGTACTGCAATACAAGCTGCATACTTTCACAGATCTGTGCATGTAAATGCATAGCTTTGCAAACTCTGTAGTAGATGTGCTGCAAATTTCAGATTGGCAATACATTTTGAACAAATTAGTATTTCAGCCCTCAAGTCACTGTAATCATTCCTCCAAATGAATAGCATTTAGTTATTGTAGTCGTAGAAAGTGAAGCTACAGGTAGTTCTGGTCAGTTAGGGAGGATGTTAGCAGCAGGTCTACAGCTGTGTTTTAGTATGGAGGTTTCTGAGTTAGTTCCCACAAATCAGATGTAGCAGTCCTTCTCTGAACAGTATCACACACATGCTGTTGCAATGCAACGCAGTGCAAAATAAACACTAAACATATGAGATATGTTGAGTTGGGTTTTGCCTATTAATCACAACATTGTGTTGTTTTTGTCATCCCTTACACACTCTTTCCCTGCATGTACAAATAGTACCCTGCATCCACACTGGCATCAAAGCTTCAGTCACATATATTCTTGTTACTGGATTCAGTTGAATCAGCAAAGGAATGAGACATCTGCTCAGTCAGCTTCTTTCTCACTTTTCCGCTCTACATACCAAAAGGACCAACATGAACAGAGACGACAGGCAGTATTTTCATCTACTTTTCTTTATCAGCGTGGAACAGGAAATAGGGTGCCAAAAGTCTGTCCCTACCTTTTATCAAGCTATGACATTTAACTCTCTTTATCCTCATAAATGTGAGCTGTTCAGAGAGAAATAGACCAAAGTCCGTTTGACAGTAGCTCTGCTCTCCCCTGCCGGCACCTGCTGCCTACAGACATCGATCACACCCACACGACACTGACAGCACGCTACTAGTGTTGCATGAACAAAGCAAAGAAAAACTGAAACTACATGTCTAAAAATGGAATTCATGTGTTTTTTGCCTGTCCAACTCTTACTTTCTACACATAGTTGAGTGAGAAGGGAAACCATGGGGAGCTAAAAAAAAAACCAACTTGATTTACACAAGTTCTTGTTGCACTGCTGATACAAAATATTTCAATTTTATTGAACATTTCCATCAGGCAGTCAAAAGTCTTAATCCTCTGTGCTGTAGCAAAGACTCAGTTCTACATGAACAGACTTGGTGGATCTTGTATCTGTTTAAGCTGTACTTTGTTACTTTTAGGTATACTATACTTTAATCCTATTGTTTAAACACCTGACATTATCAGACGGATACACCAGTATCTATATATATATATCTATATATATATATCTATATCTATATATTTCTATATCTATCTATATATATCTATATATGTATATCTATATATGTATATATATATATATATATATATATATATATATATATATATATACACACACACATACATTCCCAGATTGTCACATCCTAATTCTTTAGTACTTCCATCCTTCCAGCACATCCAGAGTGATAACTTGGACTTCTTAAAATCCTTTAAAAGGCATCAACTGTTTTCTAGCTCATTACAAATGCCAGGATCTATCAATATTCACATTTGGTTCATTTCTAAATTTTTCCTGCAGGACACAAAATGTCTCCTACTTCACTGTAAAGTCCATTCTTACTGTATGTGCACATCGCATTTGTGTAGGTTGAAAATTGGCTCAACAAAGGAAATAGGAACAGAGGGGATGTAGTTAGTTCGGACATGTCTGTAGTAACAGCAACATGGAGAGGGAGGAAAGGGAGACGTTTGTAGACTGCAGAGAATACAGTATACAATACAATATACAGTACAAGTTGGAAAAATTGCTTGGTGATTTTCTCATAAGTGCTGTAGTTTGCCACTTCTCAGATAAATGCTTAGTAGTTGAATTTGCGAACAAAAAACAATCTCAAAAAATGAATTAGTCAGTTTATTTATTGCTACCTAATTAGTACTAACAAACTAGTAATAACAACTTGTTAAAACAATGTAATGCTATAAAAGTAAATACCAAAGCAACAAAAATACATGACTTGTAAAGCGAGATGGTTACATAGAAATGTTAAGAGCCTCTGGTGTAAGTTGCTCACACTGTTAACACCATGCAAAATAAATTTTAGTTTTCTCCAGTGGAGAATGATGATGGTATCTGGCAGGAAGACCTAATCTAAGTGGTACGTGAGGGTTGGCTGGTAACTTTGGCCACACAGCCACAACAATACACTGTGTCACTGCTTAATACACACTCTAATTGGTTGCAGCATCCAGTTTACTGGATACTGAGAGAGCAGGAAACAGTGTAGCCGAGGATTTATTGTGCCTGCGACAGAATATTTGCATACACTAAATAAAATCCCCATCAGCCAGTCAGACATACTGTACCTCCGCCGGTGAGGGATTAATGCTCTTCATGCTACATTCACCACATTCAGCCACAAGCTGCTGCTCGCAGATGAAGCATACTCCTACATGTAGGCTCTGAAAGACAGTCTAACAACCGAACACAAAAGCCCTTTGGAGAAACCAGCTGAGCACAGCCAACCATATGAGAAACTCACACTCACACCTACATGTGCTGTTACACATGAAAGAAATAATCCTGCAGTGAATGAACATGACAACAAACCTACACAAAGGCATCGACATATGGCAACATGAAACAAATAAATCCCTCTGACAGATGTTGGTTATTAGAAAGCATCAGAAAGCTCAGTATTTGAGTATTTAAATTGTATTTCTTTGGTATGTCTCCAGGCAGTCCATATGGAAAGGTCATGTACATTAGAGAGAGAGAGAAAATGATGCACATGCACTGTCGTGAAGGGAGACAGTGGTAGTTTATGGTGTATTATCCTCATCTTCATCTGTTTATTAAAGCCACCTGTCCCTCCCTAAAGCATTAGACATAATAAATGTGTTTTGAGATGCAGCCCATGCAGCTCTCAGTTAAAACAATAAAGCAAAAGGATTGCTGCTTGCAGCTGCTCTGGTCCTCGCAGCATATGCAGTACAACATAATGAAATGTTAATGTTAAAACCTAAAGCAGCACAGTGTATTTTGGTATGTCAGAAAGATTAACACTAGAACATACATCAGCACAATAAGAACTACTTAAAATGACAGAACCCATCTTCAGGGGAAACATTTATTTGCATTGTAATTTGATTTTTTACTTTAGTTAGTTAGCCATCTGCTAACATTAAGGGGTTTGGGTTTATGACCTATACTGTAATATTCTAACATAACAATAATAAGTGACATTTTGCTACAATGCGTTGTAACACAGGGAAACAACAAACCACAATTCAACACACGGGTATACACAATAACAACACTAATTAGTTTTGCGTACAGCATGTTTTATGTATCTTGTGAAATTCTAGTTTTTGTTAGCTTACCAAAAACTGTCATAGTAAAGCCAGTATCCAGCAAGTTGCAGGCAGTTGAATGTAACCAAAAATACTGTCTGGAAAAGCCACAGTGGAAAGATCACAGTGGTCAACAAATTGAGATTAAATAAAGTGTATATTGACTTACTATGGCACTAACCACTGTAACTATATTATAGCAATTGCTATTATAAATTGAAACTTTCTTGAAATGAACGTTAAAAAATAATTAAATTATTGGCATACAAAAAAAAATCACAGTTCCAATGAAGATGCGAAGGAGAGGGAACTTCCATCATCGCAACTTGGTTTTGTCTATAAACATTTTAGGGGATGTCAATGTGATTTTAAATTTCTTATATTTCCAGGTTTACTTATTGTAGTGAGTTTCTAGTTCTTAAACTAATTTGTACCCCATATCCATTAACTACAGTGCTTATTTGTATGTATTTTTTCACATGTGGGGAACAAATAGACTGTATGGACATGTGTGAAGTGTTTGTTTAAACAGAGACTTTAGGAACAGCTCTTAACCCAAATGGGAGAGTGCACTTTGCAGATAAAAGACTATTATAGATTCATGTGTCAAACAGCAGGACTCCTCGAGAATAGCACAGGTAGTTGCTCCATGTGCCAAACATGAATTAGCACTAACACTACAACAAAGTGCTCTGTTAATTTGAAAAACACACTGAATAATTCTCCAATTTGCTGCTGTAGCAAAACACAGGATATTAACACTTGATTTTTAAGTTAGATTGCCGTCATCAACCTATTTTCATATCCTTAGGAAGCCGTTTGTTTTTACAGAAATCATGTGTTAAAGTGATGCTTTTTCTTACTGTAGATTTGCATCTGATACTTAAATCTGTGGATTGATTTATTTTTTTAAATATCCCTCTAACAGAAAAGCAGAAAGACCCACAACCAACTAACTTGCCAGATGCAATTATGCACACAATTACTGATGTGAATATACGCAGACAAAAAGACTTTCTGCTTTCTCAAAACATTATCCTCTTCTTTCTCACTAATTATCATCCCTAGTCCTATCTGCTGTTTCCTGCATGGTCGTCACGTACTGTTGGCCAACATGCAGCTGTTGATGTGGCTAACTGCCTGGTGCTGCTGCTCTCTACTTTGAGCTGGCTCTCTTATTACAAAATCCTACTTTCTGTTTGGTTGACTCATGAGAGGCTGTTGGAGGGATATTGTGGAGGGGGGAAAAATCCTGTTAAATTGTCAATCGTACTTATTTCCCCTGCTGGCTTCCAGCCTAATACTTGCATAGTGGGGGGAAAAAGGTGGCAGATATACTGTCACAGCTTCATGCACACAACACACACATACACATTAGACACTTGTATTTATGCTGTAAAGTCTAGAAAAGCAAAGCCAATAATGGTCTCTCTCTCAACGACTGCTTCCACTAATCACATTGTATTAATCTTATTTCAAGTCATGAATATGTTTGCTGAAAGCATCAACAAACAAGTAAGTTAATGTCCAATTAGACTTGTGACTGATGTGAGTAACTCCTCTGACTCATTTGCTGCAGATATGAGTTATGTGTTTTAATGATTATTTTAATGTGATTGTACCATCTTTTAAATCTCTCTGATGGCATATGTTATGTCTTTAGCAAAATGATACAACGAAATTTGGTGCTACTTTCAGCCCATTCTTGTAAAAGTGGTGTCAAAATATGCATGACTGAGGTAAAAAATGTTTGTGTAATGGCAAAATGCTACACAGTGGAATGGAAATAGATTTAGCAAATAAATCATGATATTCATGAAGCATGTGACTTAAACATCAATCATCCCTGAGGAGCTAAAAAAAACTGCAGCAGACGAAACCATCAGATCTGCATGGACCGATGAGACGACTGTTAACTGTCCTCAAATTAATACTTGAAACAAACATACACGCCATATTTCAATCACACGTTCACCATTTTCCTTCGTTTAAGGTTTGACTTATCCAGTTGTGCCCTCCTCTTCTGCAATAATTTAATGACCCCTAACTGGAGCCAGCGCCACCAACTCTTTATCTCAATGAACCAACTCCTAATATTTGTGTAACAGAAGTGGATACGCATATTCACATGTTTTGGAAATGTCTGCTCAATTTAGAAACTTGACTATTGCCTTGTTACCAAAGTCAGATATTTTCAAATCCTACATATATGTGCTTTAACCGTAGTTTCTCCTACACGCTTGGAAGTTTAAGTTGTATTCAAATGGTTGCAATCTGCAACTAGATGCGACTAAACCATATGCATTGGCCCTTTAGTTCACCACTCTGCCATGGGTTTGTATATTAAGTATGTTCCGAGGCTTCCCCAATAATTTGCTCAATACTCTACTTCTGGTGGAGTTTTAATCGGTCACAGAAGTGGTGTGCTTATCTCTGTTGTAGAGAAACTACCACTGTTAGGAACACACTGAATATAAGAACTACAGCAGAGAAATGGATTATACTGCAGGAATGATTTTCTACAGAAGTTTGATACTTTATTTCACAGTGAGTCTGGAAACCATAGGAATCCATTGCAACTGCTGTAAATCCACCTGAGAATAGCTGCACAGCCATTATCGTATCCCTGTAATATTACCATTAATGGAAATATCCACTTGAACTGTAATATCTGTGAAGCTTAATACATTCTGAGTTAATTTGTGCTGTACCCACTTCCTCTCAAGCTGCCTTGTTTCCCCCGAATGCCAACCCCATGAGAGAGAAAACTTCTACGTCTAGTTTTACATTTAGAAGTTAAAACTACTGGTGTTAATATTAATGAATCATTTTGTATTCTGTATTTAATTTTTGGCTCCTGTTGATGTTTGAGTTTTTATGATTGTTGAACGTCAGCACAAAACTAGCGTGTGAAAAAAGCACTGACTCTTTAGACTGTCACACTGCAGTGAATACCTCTCATGCACTGGATGTAGCACCACACCTGTTTGGTCAGCTGTCCATAAAAGCAAGATAACTGAATGCAATGTTCATCATAAATAGTGGGGTTTTAAAATGTTTCTTTGATTAATACTGTAACAAGTAGTAGATTTACAAACTGACACCTCCTATGCCTGAAGTATGCATTTTTTTTTAATGTAGTTTTGTGCAAACAATTTGACTCTTGAACCATTAATTTCCACTAAGTCACACATGGAAGAGGTTTATTAAGAGAAAAAAACATCAATTATATTTTGCATTAGTGGTTGTAATGGCCTATAGGTGACCCTGAATTAAAAGATTTAAATCACTAATTGGACGAGGAGAGTGTATCTTAGTTTGAAAATCACGAGTGCAAAATATCTGTGAAGAGACGTGAGCTGCTGATTCTGCCTTTAAAGACATGCCGAATGGTGTTCAGTCTGTGTGGTAATGTGACACGAAGCTGCTATGTCTATCACTTTTCCTAATAATTGAGTGAAACCACTACCTGGAGGAATGAGTAGAATTCATACCTCTCCCCTCAAAGTAAATGAATCAAACTGGACTGCTGATATTGCATTTTGATTTAAAGGTTAAGTGAAAGCAAAAGCCTTTCACTCAGCCAAGAGTTCCTGTTTGCTGCATCCATTACAACTTTTCACTGGTGCAAAAATAAAAGCTCTGCCGGAGATTTGTTGAGTGATATTTAGATATTATGAGCTCCTGCTCTCAGACATGCAGAATGTCATCTGTAATATGCTGAACCACTGAAAATCCTGATGTTCAGGTAATGTCAGTGCCAGTAATCAGTAAGCAGCTGTACTTGTGTTTATTGCTATTAGGAAATGTTAGCATGCTAAACTAAGATGGTGACCTTCTTAACATCAGCATGTCAGAGTTGTTGTGAAGTTAGCATTTAGCATAGTTATAGACTCTTGGTTATGTGTTATTGTTATTTTAACAATATTTAAATGACTATAGGTAATAACTCAACTTTAAAGTACAACCATTTAAATGCTGTTGAAACAACATTTATCTGTAACATGTACATGTAAGGGTTAAACTTTTTTACCCAGTTTTTACCTCGTTTTGACCTGCAAATCATCAAATCAGTGGTTAATGGAGAGCTGTTAAGAGTTTCACAACCATAATGATACTACAAAAAGATGTTTCTATGATCCAAAAGTCTTTCACTCGCTTTCATTATCACCAAATCAACAAATAAGTCACAAAACTGCCAAATATTTTGCAACATGTGCACCTCTCTTATTCAGAATTTGGGTAAAAAAACAAACAAAAAAACACATTTTGTTATGAAACAATCATAAAGGCACAACAAAGACTTCTCTTTTCACAGGACATTAATAGAATCTGATTATATTATAATCAGCAGTAAAACAGGACAAGAACTGGAGCGTATTCAAGATTAACATTGCTCAAATCAGATCAAATAGGCCTACACAGCCTCTTAAAACCTTTATCTGACAGATTAGCAGAACCAGTATCGGGGTGTGGGAGTGAGAGTAGAAGCATCTATGCTGAAGAAAACTAAATTGTATTGATTTCTTTCTCCTTGTTTTCATTTATTGCTCTATAATTGGTGCTCGCTTGTAAGCTACTGCATTCTAAATCTTCAGAATCATTTCATCGTAAAATAGGCACAAATTGTGGAAATATTGCAAATTATTAAGCACGTTGCTTGCAATGTCAGGACTTTCACTGTACTTTCCTGCTCTATGCATCATCAACACACAATCTTGGTGTTTCTCAGTTTCCTTCTCTAACTCCCTTTTCTCTGGATTCGTGGGCTAGCACATGGGAGAGAGCACCCGACACCAACTAATAGCAGCACCAGGCTGATGTGTGTTGCTGATCAATGTCTCATTAAGGGATGTGCGTGTGGGTTTCACACCGTATAGTTAGATCTCGAGCTGTGAAGGTGAGAAAACCTCTGATTAGCCTCCTTTTAAGCCTGCTGGATGGCATGTTAGAGCAAACACACATGCTCCCTTATGTAACACAATGCTTATGTCTACTTGCTAGATTTTCAAAGAGGATAAATGAGACAAAGAATGGCAATCAAGCGATCATGTAGGAGACCAGAGATAAAAGACAGATGAAGAGGAAGCCAGGCAGCGACAGTATTCAGTATTCATGAGTAACTGAACGCAAAAAAAGGGAGAGGAAAGAAAAGTCTATAGAATGTAGGCGGTGGGCACGCAGAGGTTGAGGAGTTGGTATTTCAAGCAGCGATAGAGATGTTTTTTAATTCAATGTATGCTCACCAATGCAGGAGCTCCCATCGAGCAGGTAGGAGCCATTGTCATGGAAACCACTTCTGCATTCACAGTGGTACCAGCCGGGCAGGTTGACACAGCGGGAGTGGTTGTGGCACTCAATCAGGCCCTCTGCACACTCGTCGATATCTGAAGACACAAACACACACTGTAGCATCAGCATCAGTCTGAATTATTTTCCTGGCAACGTACATCAACCTGAAACTTCAGCTCATTTGTGTCTCTTTTGCCTGTGCTTTGATCTGTGCTAGTTATAGCCGTGGAGGTTGATCCAATCAGAACAAACCGCCACCACAACAGCAGAGCTGGGTCAGCGGCTGCCCACATTAGACAGCCCACATTTCTCTGCCGCCTGTGTGCCACAGCAGGGATCAAAGTCTTTTAGAAATCACACCATTTGGCAGCAGAGTTGTTTCCTTCGTGCACTTTTCTATTTCTTCTCCTCCTCACTCATTCGGCTCTTTCTACTCAGCTCGCTTTGTCTCTCGCATGTGACGTGCATACCCATGCCCAGCCCAGAGGCGTTAGGACTGTGCTCCTTCTCGGGAGAGTAAATCTCTCTCATCCATTATGTATGGTGTGAGCTCTGCTCCTCATCTGCAGCTCTCTTGCTTCTGGCTGAGACCCGACCTGTGCATACACCCTTTCGGTTAAAGTGTGACCTTCAGTCACACCTTCAATTGCTTAAATGTGAACTATAGCAGACAAGGAAAGGTAGTGAGGCACTGCTTGGTAACTGTCATGTCTATGTATATCTCATATTGTGGCTGAAGGGGGAAAAGCCCCATATCTTAAGCAAATCAACAGGAAAAGTGCAGTAGTTTATAGCTCAGGCATTTTTCATATATGTAATGGGTTTTAAAGACTCAGTGTGTAAGGTTTAGTGGCATTTAGCGGTGTAGTTGCAGATTGCAACTCCCTCGCTTCGCCCTCCCCATTCAAGAATGAAGGAGAAACTACGGTGGCCGCGAAAGTCACAAAAAAGTTAACAGCCCTATCTTGTGCCAGTGTTTGGCCTGTCCTTTCTGGGCTACGGTAAAACTCCCAGGAAGGCGTATGTGAATATAAAAGGCTTGTTCTAAGGTAACTAAAACATAACGATTCCTATATTCCGGTGATTATACACTAATAAAAACACACCTATGCATATTATATTCCAGCCAATAGATCCTCCTAACTGTTACAACACTGGAGGGTTGTTTTATAAGCGAGCAAGTGTTGTAGGTTTGTCACCATGTAATCAAAGTCAGTTAAAATCTGAAAATCCACAGAACGTTTTCTCGTCTGTTGTCTGGAATGAGATGCTCCTCTAACAAAGCTCCATCCACAGACTTCTTGTTTCACTGAAAGTGGTTCAAATCTATACACTTATGATGAAAGCAGTAAAAACAATGATACAGGTGAAGTTACATATTGCTTACAAACAAAGTAGAGATTTAGAAACTGTAACTGTAAGCTGCTCATTTCTTACCAAATCACCACTGTGAACGGCAGATGCCATCATAAAGCAAGTTTCTTGTATGCTTTTTTTTCCCTTCTAAATCTGGAGTTATGAGAATATCCATATCAGTTTCATCTTTAGTTCCTTATATGCCTTCCACATGGATGTATTGTGATTAACTTGCTAGGTAACAATAAAGACAGGACAGTTTTTGAGTAGGTTGAAAACAGGGATGTTTGCCAAAATGCTGGTACATTACTTCTTTTCTTTTTTTTCCCTTTGAGAAGTTGTGTTTGTCCACAATGCATGTGTTCTCCAAAACTGTATGCTTATTTGCACAATTCCAAACTTGGTTTTCAATTTCATAGCTTCCACTGAGAATACACACACACACAGTGTGTGCAGATCAGTGTGAGTTTAAGTCGATCAAAACAAGGTTAAGAGTAATATGAATTTCAGTTACAGGAAGGATGCGTCAAGGTCACTGTACATTAAGTGAGAAATGAGTCAGGGTGTAAAGAAATGTGATTTAGAGTAGATTTATTTTGTAAAGTTATATTGAGAAAGTGGAAACAAACCTAGATAACACCCTGATAAAAGCAAGATAGCGGAGAAATAAAACATGGTATATTGGAAAAATGCCTTTTTATGTCTAATATATAGCAAATTATATAGTGATATTAACACATGACTTGCCTTTTTGTTGAAAGGTGTTCTTTTACTATAGAGAAGAGTTGTGTGATTTTTTTCCACCTACATTTAAGCATAAACCCACTGCAGTTGTTCCAACCACATACTGTATCCCATATGGCATCAACACATAGCTACAGATTCTACATCCAAAAAACCAAAAAACCAAACAACAAACTAGCCTTCTGATCTTGTGCTGTGAACATTTTTATGTTGTGAAAGTCACAGTTGATAGGTTTGACCCTGTCTTAAGTGCACACATACAGACACACATATTTATCTCTGTACAGATAAAAGAGAGACTCGGGGTGAGCCGTTTAGCAGTGTCTGTTGTGGTTGTGCCGTTAGCCTGGTGTGCTGTAGGTAAGACCTGACAGCCGCCAGGAGGGCTGCCCTCTGTCAGCCTGTCAGGTCAGAGCTACACCAAGATTCCCTCTCTGACATCCCACTGAAACATACCAAGATTAGAGGTGACTGGTGGCTGAGAGCAGCTAACCCTTTAACAAAAGAGCAGGGCTGTGCGTGTGCATGAGAGGGAATATGTCCATGTCTGGGCTGGTTATACCACATGCTAAAGGTGTAAGGATTTAATCCAGTAGCGTTTAGATTCCATGCATCATTAAGTTTTAAATACTGACCCTGATTAAATTTAACATGATTCATTTTATACTTAAAATTTGCTAATTGGGAAACATAATGTAACTGGGGTCCAGATTTAATTACACACTTTCCACCAAGGCAAAAACACTATCCAAAGACTTACATTTTTTAAACTGAGGCTGCTCAAGTTGATGTGAAAGTCTTTTGGTCACAAAACAATGCTATCCACCCAGATCCCACAGGCCTCTACGTACAGGCACCCACTCTAGGGATAAAGAAACAATCCCTCACTGGCTTCTCACCCACAAACACAGCCAATTGCGTCCATAGAAATACATGACCAAACACTCGAGGTACTGCCGCCAGTCAGTGTAGAATCTCTGTCCAATTTTGTTTTGTTTTTGTATTGTAGCGGTTTATAAAAGAGGTTTTTTTCTTTTTGGAAACATATCTTAATTTTATATATATATATATATATATATATTATTGAGGCACAAACCCAGACAATGAAGACTGAAATATGGCAATTAAATTAAAGAGCCACATTGGCCCTAGGGGGGCCAAAACAAGGGGGGGAGAGTGTAGCTTGGTTGTAATTAAATCAGGTAATGTATTGAAATCACTATGGGGCTGTTAGACTTTAAAGTCTCCTGATTGCTTCAATTTCATATACAATGGAGTGCAGTCACTCAGACAGGTAGGCAGTATTAAAGAACATGCACAGCAACACACTTATAAAATAATCAATTTTATTTATTATTGAAATCTGTCATATTATATTCATTTAACATTTAATGGTTGCATAGCTGTTGGGGTTGTGTGCAAACAATGAGATAGCTGAGCTCTTTATTTAACCCTTCGACAGAACAAAGCAGCCATCGGTCACTGCAAAAAGAGGATTAAGAGCTGCCAGCAGCTCTAATATAAAACATGGACAGACCACATATTGCTTTATACAACATACAGTCTGACTAATTAACCTATAGTATATGTCTGCTGTCACTGTCGCTGTAACTATACAAATGAGTTGTTTGGCACAGTTGCAAAACATGTACAACCTACAGAAAATTAGGATCGTGGCATGATGATTTAACCAACTGAAGCAAGATTTGTTTCACTTGTTTCATTCATTCATCATGCATATCAGCATCATTCATTTGCTGAAATGCATACTTTAAATTTACACACGTGTCTTAGGATTCTGTGCCTTCAGTTTAGAATCTCAAGCAAAACATTTCCCTGTTTTGCAGAACCAATGTTCATGTTCATTGTGGAGAGAGCTCTGCAAGGAAGAACAGCAATAATGCAAAGTTTGAACACCTACAGCACACAAACAACAGACAACAGTGCTGCCAGCCTTCCTAATAACAATAATCCTGCCCTGCTCTCCAACACATCTGTGCATAATTAATGAAAAGTGACTCATTCTAAGAGGTTTTTCACTGCTTCACGGAAACACTATCACTTTATTGTGAGGTATGAGAGGTTGCAGTTCTTCTTTCATCTTCTGAGAGAAATACTAATTTTCTTGTCCGTAAAAATTCAGATTTGAGCATTTATTTCTCTGCTTCTCCCTGTTTCATATTCTATTGCTGACTTTTCTACATTTTACTGCTTTAATTACACAAAACAGAGGAAAGTGACACATTTTTCTTTGTTTTGACTCACAAGGGTGTGTGAAGGTGTATTGGGTGTGATGGTGTAGGAACAGTGTATTTTAGCACAATACAGCAAAACAATGAGCCTAACCTAGAGACAAGGCAAAGTAGGTATGAAGCAGAAAGGTTGGTGCTGCTTCTCATTTAGCAAAGCAAAGTTATCTAAACTTGGGTAAAAAAGCAAATAAAATGGCTTCCTCCATTGCCGACTCTGGTTCTCTCTGTTCCCTTAAAGGTCAGCACTGTCAAGGTGGTGTGCAATTGGTCAACAGTGTGAATTTGTGCGAACCACACTTCTCATATTGCTGGTGTGACTGGGCTCGAAAATCTGAAGCAGGGAGTGGAAGGCTGTAGAGACCTAGATGAACACTATGGAGGATAAAATGACTTTAAATAGTCACTGGATGTAAAGAATCTGTAACAGAATTCAAAATATGATGACTTTATTTAAGTTTCTCTTACTGTAACCTGTTCTTTAAATGTTGGTCCACTAAAACTGGGGAACTATATGAAAAACAGCTACAATCCATGCATGATTCATCTTCTTTGGATGGAAGGCTAGAAGTTAACATTAGAAACACAAGTTTTTATTCAGAAAAAAATGTGTCACTTCGGACTACACTGCATCACCTCTGTGACCTGTGGGATATTTGCATCCATATTAGAATTGAAATATATCATAGTTTAAAGATAGAAAAACCTTTCAACCTGTATCTTAACTATTTTTTCATCATCTTTCT